TGAAAAATTCCTCTTATTCTATGAATTAAGTTGAGTTTACTTTAAGTTGTAGTTGACACCCAGTCCGAGCGAGGTCAACTTATCTGCGCATGCTCATTTCAAATTTGTCATGGCAACCGGCTGCTACAGGGTTTCCATGGATTTTCCCAGGAGCTCCCTTCTAAAGTTTGGTTCAGCCATCTGGTCGCTCTGCTGGCGGGAACTTTCCCTGAGGATTCGTCCAAGAGAAGACTAAGGTACTGGTTTCCTGTCATCTCTGGCAATATTGCATTATTTGTAAGGTTTTAACAGGAGTTGGAAAGTAAAAAAATATATGCTGAAACCTGATTTGCTTTAAGCATAAGATTACTTGTTTACATTGCTGTTTTACATTGTGGAATAGTAAACCTGTTTTTGCCAAACTAAAAAATGTAAGTTATTACAGGGGTAATCTGAATTTTAAATAACTTTTTACAGATAATCTGAACTTAAAATAATAAGTTTTTACAGACTGGAAAGTTCCAGTAACTTGAATTAAAAAAAACTTAGTTGGCAGAACTTAATTAGTGTAGTTCTACAAAACTTAAAAAATTAAGTTGAAGCATTCAACTAAAAAATTCTGTGCAGCCGCTTGCCTTGAAATTTTGAGTTGAACTAACTTTTTCGTTTTTATATATATATATATATATATAACACACATTGACTGGTTAAAGAACAAATGTTCACATATGCATAAATAATGTAAAAAAAAACATGGTTTGAAAAAGTTGGAAGAAGTTTAGACAAACTTATAAGGACAAAAAGCATTTAGTTAGACACAACTTATATTTACCACTAACTACGATTATACAAAACAGTTTGACAATGACAAAAAGTTAATATAAAATAATTTTAAAAGACTAGATAACTTTACTCTCTTTTTGTAAATCACATATCAACAAATGTTCCTCTATAGATCATAACACTCATTATCAAAGAGCAATCCTTAAAAATACTGAGTCATAAGAATATACTATATATTATGAGATAATAATATAAAACTTTGTGTTTATCATATTATATAATTTGCATGTATCTCATCCAGTTTGATTTCACTTTAAATAGTTTTAATCTGAATAAATATGTTTTATCTAAAACCTGAAAGGTATTTTAAAATTAGTTTTGGTTTTTTAAGGGGTGACATGTCAGAGATTATTGTAATATTTTGTCTTTCATGAGATCCAAGGCGCCTCCTGTTCATTCTGACAGCAGCTGTCTGAACTGTGGTCTGATCCAAGATGGCCGTCTATATGACGTCTATGGATCCAACAGGAAGAAAGCCAAAGGCCTACTGTTGCCGTAGAGTTTGAGGCACTGGGTTGACCTCTGTGGACACTGGCCGTTGTAGCAGTAACCCAGACCCTTGTTACACGGCAGGCCGTTGACGGCGAACACATCCTCAGGACAGGTGGCGCTCTTCCCGTCGCAGTACTCTGCCAGGTCACAGTCATCCTGCTTGGGGCGGCACTCCCTGGACCGAGGCTGGATCTGTGAGGAGCAGATGGAATGACATCACCCAGAGGTCAAATCGCCCAATCAGGGAGAGCTTCTGTGTTTCACCTCTAGTTTTAATGTGTGAGTCGTTCCTAATCAGTTAAATGTTTTCCTTATCATGTCTTTATAACTTTAAATGGAGGATCAGTTCCTCCTAACATCACTGAGCAAAGGAGGGAAAAACCTGCAGCTAAAATATGATATAAAGAGTAAAAAAAAAACCTGCTCCATATCTTCATTTCCCACAAAAAGGACAAATTAATTCTCCTTTTACAGAATTTGATGCTCAGAGTGAAACCAGGAGGAGCCCAGTAGGGGGCGGTGGTGCTCCAGGCAGGCCTGGCATTGAGTGAAGATTGGCTCACCTGACAGTCAGCACAGCATTCTCCCTCCGCACACTGGGAGCCTGCTGACAGCGTGCATGTGGTGGCGTTGCAGCAGGGGTTGGTGCACTCCTGTAAAGACAGCGATGGGGTTAAATTAGCCGCTCCGTCTCAAACCTCTTCCTTCCTGTCTGCATCCAGAAACAGCAGTTATGCATTTTGCAAAGTTTTCAGCTTTTAAGACAAATGAGTTGGTTTAAGATCC